ATGGCTCAGAACCAGCTAAACTGGAATTTGCCCCCACTGGGTCCAGAGAACTCTAGAAGAGATACAGAACCCCTCCAAAGAGGTCAGCACTTAAGCTTTCCCTTTTTTATTTTTTCATGATATCAATTTTTAATGAAAACTGTGTTTCTTGCCTCTTCACATGATCAATAACTCCTCCACTCATAATAAATAATGAACTATGCCATCATAATTGGTAAGTAAACATACGCATATGCAATCATTATTGCACACTAGCGTGTTATTTGGGAAGACATTTTTAGAATGTTCTGTAGTTGTGAATAAGGTAACACACTGACATGCTTATGGTCTTATTCCTGTTACCATTTGGTAACTGAAACTCTAGTACGTGTGCAATGGTCTCTTAGATAGCTTGGGCATAACTAAGTATCATGGGAAATATTTCCATTTCTGTTCTATGCTTCATCCAGAAAACAACTTATTTTTTATGTAAAAGCTTCTTTATTCATTTCTTCATAATTTTAAAAATTATTTATTTAACAACCACATAATAAGAAGCAGCATTTCACTACAACAGCATTGACATATTCAATAATTTCCAGAGCTAAGATGCATCTCTTTCAAAACTGGCTGTAAATTTTTAGGTTTACAGTTGAATTAATACATTTATACAATATTGTACTCAGTATAAACCCTATAAGACATAAAATTGAATGAGGTTTAAAAAAGATCTCCATTTCATTATTAAAATAAAGTTTCATATGAAAAAATTCATTTTTAATGCAATTAACACTTAGATGTTGGCACATGCATCTCTAATCTCTATATACCTGATTATTACTAGTCATAGTCGGTTACTTTCTCAGCTCCTTGGCATCTGAGCATGGATATAAAGTCATCAGGTAGATTTCAATGGTAATGGTTTTCACATCTGCTAATTATTCCCTCATCTTTTCACTTCACACTATTTTCACAGTCTTTAAACATTATATGTACAATATGACATACTATGGAACCATTTGAGAGATATTTTAAAAATTATTTATTTAATAACCACATGATTAAAAGAAGCATTTCATTACAGTATTAACATATTCAATAACAATTTCCAGAGCAGAGATGCATCTCTTTAAAAATTGGCTGTGAAATTAGTTTCACGGTTGAATTAACAGTTATATAATATTGAACTCAGTATAAACCCTGTAAGACATAAAATCAAATGAGGTTTTAACTTTAAAAAAGACCTCCATTTCATTTTAAAATATACTGTTTCCTACAGAAACACTCATTGTTTTTGCTACTAACACTTAGATGTTGGCACATGTGTCTTTAATCTCTATGTACCTGATTATTACTAGTCACAGTCGGTTACACTGTATAAAGTCATCAGGTAGATTTCACTGATAACATTTATCACCTCTACCTCTAGTAAATTTTTATGCTTCCCCCTCAAAGATGTCTTTTTTTATTTGTTGATTTTTTGTGTGTGCATATCATACTGAACATCCCACACAATCTTATTCATCTATATACCCACTTCCCAAATGGCACCCTCCCATAGCCTCCCCCCTCCCGCACACTGGAGCCCATATACTCTGTCATCACACTGTGTGAATCTAGTCAGCCTATCTAGAGGTCTTTGTTTTAGGAGGGTCAGCTGTTCCTCATCTAGTGGTATTCAGTTGTCAGTATATCTTTGGATAAGATTGGAGTGTGCTGTTCAATTTCCCAGTTCTATGCTGGGTTACTATCTGGGAATCCCTTTGGCCACCCTGGCCAACAACTCAGAAGGAAGGTATCTCCTGTCTGGCATTGTTTCTTGTTATGTAGCCATTAGCTATACATATGGATCCTTAAAAAATTATATTGACCCCATTAATATTTGGTTATACTTTCCTTTGGGGTGTTTAAGACCCTACAATTGGCCCAGATAAACCAATTTGTTTTTACTCTTAAGGTCATTTGAGGGTCTGTTTCTCAGGGGTCACATGGGCTTGGGAGGAGGAGCCCCTGGCTCCTTTCTTTTACCAATTCCATCTATATGAAGATAAGTCAAAGGTCCTGCTCGACCATGGCTAGCTTTGCTTGGGAGCATGGAGGAAATGTTTTCTCTGTGTTGACCCTCCTCTTTGTAGACTGGACACTGGTTCAGGTCCATCTGGTGGAGTCTCCATGCCCTCCTTGATTAAGAGGACAGGTGACTCACCGCAGTTACAGGACATTTTGAGAGATGCTCATAGTCCCCTGGAACTTAGTGGACCTAGGAGGGCAAGGAACAAAAACTGTCCTTTATGTCCCCCTGACCAAATTAGTATAGGCCTCAAAGTATGTCTGTTAAACATCCAAGAAGGTTAGTTCTACCTGTCTGGTACTTTTAATTAGCATGTGTCATGTGATAGAGCTTGGGCAAAGACCAAATGCTCTTAGATAAACCTTGCCTAGATATATATTACTTTCTTTGATCTGGTTGTATGTATAATTTGTCAGTAGGTTGTTGGCTTAATATGGTTCCCTCTGGTTTTCTAAAACTAGCTAGGCATTGTTTATCTCTCACATTGTCTAACCCCTCCATCATGGTTTCCCTAATTAAGGTGCCCCCATTTCCCCCTCTCTCCCTTAATAATACCCTTCTCCTATGGTCCCACCTCTCTTGAGCTCCTTCTTTCCCTTTATCCCCTAGGTTCCTTGTATAACCTTCCCTCCCTCCTCCCCTTAAAATAACCCCATTTTTATCCATCTCTCCATTGTTAACACCCATTTTCTACTGTTCTCTTTCAGATTCTTTCTTTTCCTTTACTTCCCTGATTCCTTTTCATTATCCTGGTTCCTATAGTTCATTTCTTCACAATTTTTTAAAAACATACATTCATGTCACTGTTCTGTCTGAAATCTTTCAATGTCTCAGTGATGCAATTAAGTTGAAACTCATTATGGGCTTTAGCAACTGCAGTAATTCAAGTGCTGTATCTCTCAGAACTTCTGTCCGCACACCCCTTCTCTGTTTACCACACACCCTGTGCCCTTGGGACTTTTCTTCAGTAACTCACAATTCCACCTCTCACTTCAAACATGGGCTATTGGTGTTACTTGAATCTTTTCTCTTTTTTTAAGAAAAGAATTTATTTAGTTTTATCTTATGACAATCTGCCTGTGTGTATGAAGAGTGCCATATTCGTGTCTGGTGCCTGAGGAGGCCAGAAGAGTAGCTGATCCCTTGGAACTGAAGCTATAGGTTTTATGGGTCTCTGTGTGCGTGCTGTGCATTGAACCCTCTGCAAGAGCAGCAAGTGCTGCTTCCTTCCTGCGCTAATGAGCACCCTGCTGTGTTTGTCCTCATTCATTTCTGGCTGGCCACCTGAAGGCTGTGGGAAGGCACACTGCATCTCTCAGCAGTTCTTTCCCTGGAGTCTGAGATGAGCCATTATTGAAACTCACAGAGACATAGGGTGTTCTCAGAAGGGGCAAGGAGGAAGGGAAGTGCTGATGTGAGATGGGAGGGGGAACTGAAGCAGGCAGGACTGAAGGTCTATCTATGGCTGAACTAGTCTTGGCCAGGAAAAGTATTGCTTAACCCTGCATCATAGACTCACACATTCACCAGCTACCAAAACATTTCAGCACTACTTATTTGACTAAAAAATATACTCATATACTATATACTATACATACATGCACACGTATTACGTGCCAACCTTCGAAGACTTGTTTTCAGATGTTCTTGCCCTTGTGGCGTTTACATTCTAATGTCATAGACCAAAACACAATAAAACTTACTATTCCTATTAATGAACATATGTATCCATGTGTTCTGTTTCCCTTCCTGTGTGTGGTTTAGCCCATGCCTTCCCCTTGGCTATAAATTCCACAGGGCAGGAATTTTTCCACCTGTTGTGTTCATGGTTGTATTTGTTTAATAGTAAATAAAGGGAAGAAATAAATGATTAGACATGAGATATCAGGTATAAACAAGTAGTGTGAGGAAACTGAGATCCATTGAGCATGCTTTCTTGTTCTGGGAAGGGTGATTAGAAAGAGGCTTTTGGGGCTCAGTGGTTAAGAGCACTGGTTGCTCTTATGGAGAACTCTGGCTTGGTTCCCAGCACCCACATGCCGGCTAACAATTGCTCATAACTCCAGTTCCAGGGGATCTGATGCCCTCTTCTGGCCTCCACAGGCATTGCAAGATCCAGGTACAGTTAGATACATGCAGGCAAAACACTCCTACACATAAAATAAAAACAAGTAAGTGATCTGGAAATGGAAAGAGGCATTTGAAGAGGTGACAGTAAAGTAGTGAGCTAGAAACGGTGAAAAGTGGGGATCCAGTAGCACAGTTATTAGTGGTTAGGGAGTCTGTTCTTTATTTGTGCCAAGTACTGCTTGTTTTCCCCTTATTTTCAGGGTTAGAAAAGAATGGGTCTGTTTGGGGAACTATCCCACACGCTGGAATTTTCGTGTGGAGATGTTCTCTAAAGTTAAAATCCTGGAATAGTAAGAATGCTGGTCCTAGACCCTGGCCTTTTGTTCTATTGGCCTCCAGATGGCGCTATGCACTCTGCTATTAATTTTGAAGGCTGGTGTTCAAATTTCCCTGCTTTGAACTTTGTTTGGAATGCGTGTATGTCTTTTAGTATAGTTAACCTATGAGGAAGCAGAACAATCCTGGGACCAGAGAGGTCTGCTTGATGTGGGCCCAAAACTTGCTTATTTAAAAGGTTTTCGGCCTCTACTCATGGAAGAAGGTATGTCCGGTGGGGAAAGGGAGTGGGAGGTTTCTTTATAACAAAAGAGAAAAAGGTATCTGCCCTCATTCTGGGAATCTTGCTCCACTTTACTTCGGGTGACAGCACTTAGCTCTGGCTATGTGTAGAACTCAGTCAGCAGGGACACCCTCACCTAGCCATCAGGTTGGTTACAGTTCCTTTTCTTAACCATTTGCGTTGACAACAGAGTCGTGTGGAAAAATGCTATCTTTCTTTCAATTTCTAGGTTTCAAAAGAAGCAAATGCCGTAATTATGTGATGGACAATCTCTCCAGTGCCACTGAATTCTGTCTTCGGGGCTTTCCTGGATCCCAAGAACTACACTACGTTCTTTTCACTAGATTCTTTTTCTTCTATTCAGCGACACTGTTGGGAAACATGATTATCATCACGAATGTCTGTGTTGATAAACGCAGCAGTCCCCCATGTATTTCTTCCTCTGCCAACTTTCTCTCCCGGAGATGCTGATAACAACAACAATTATTCCCGTAATGCTTTGGGGGTTGTTGATTCCCGGGACCCAGACAGTCTCTCTGACTGGATGTGTTGCCCAGCTCTTTCTTTATCCCTCTCTAGGGACCACAGAGTTTTCGCTGCTTGGTGTAATGGCTGTGGGCCGTTATGTGGCTGTCTGCAACCCTTTGAGATACAGTGTCATCATGAACAGTCGTACTTGCATTTGGGTGGTGGTCGTGTCATGGGTGTTTGGGTTTCTTTCTGAAATCTGGCCCGTCTATGCCACATTTCAGTTAACTTTCTGCAAATCAAATCTATTAGACCATTTTTATTGTGACCGAGGCCAGTTGCTCAAACTATCCTGTGAAGACACCTTTTTCACAGAGTTTATTCTTTTCTTAACAGCTGTTTTCATTATCATCGGGTCTTTGATCCCTACGGTTGTCTCCTACACCTACATCATCTCCACCATCTTCAAGATCCCCTCAGCCTCTGTCTGGAGGAAAGCCTTCTCCACCTGCGCCTCCCACTTCACTTTTGATGTCATTGGCTACTGCAGCTGCTTCTTCCTCTACGTGAAACCCAAGCAGACGCAGGCAGCAGAGTACAACCGGGTGGCCTCACTGCTGCTGTCTGTGGTAACCCCTTTCCTGAACCCTTTCATCTTCACTTTCCGGAATGACAAAATCAAAGAGGCTCTTAGAGATGGAGAGAAGCACAGCTGTCTGCTCCTCAGGGGTTGGTTCTCAATCGGTCCTAGGTGGCATGTCTGAACTGTGGATTACCCCATACCCTAGAAAATCTCAACATCTCTCTGCCGTTAAAGTTGCTGTAAAATCTGAGTCCTGTGGAAGTACATATTTAGAAATACAGTCTAGCTATGGAAGATCTACTTCCAAGCCTCTTCTTAAGGCACAGCAAATGAATTTTACTTTATGCTCATTAGAACCTTATAGACGTTTGTTTCTGTCTGTTTCCACTGTTGCCATAGGGACAGAGGTTTTAGGGGCACTGGAAGAACTAAACAAAGGAAACACGTTTTCATAGGAGTCTGTTAAACCAATTACTCATAACCCAGCTCTGAATTTGTATTTCTAAATATGTATTTCCTAGACGAGAAAGGAAATGATGAGGGAGATGGAGTGTCAGAGCTGCCTGCCGGTCATTAGAGTTCATACAGATAAGGGTGCTCATTGTGGTTCTGCATCAACTTTGTTAAGACTTTCTTTGTATTTTAACTCATTTTCATGGCAAGATAGCTGTCTACATTTAAATATTTTAAAATATGCCCTCTCCACTTATAGATGATATTATGATTATCTGGACCTAATTGTTACTGCAATTGTGAATGGAGAATTGCCTGTATTTGCCACAGAAACATAGAATGGTGATGCCACACACAGGAAGCTTTTCCCTTGGCAAACTGTGGTGTTTTCAGATGAAAACGCTTAGAGAGAGAAACAGGGGAAGACTCCATTTGCTAAACTTCAGAATATTGCAGAAAATACTCCTCTTTGAGGTAGGCATAGAAAAAAATTAAATGACAAATTCTAGAGAAATAATCTTATATATTAAAGCTTCTGAAAACTAATTCTGTTCAAACTTCTCCAAGTACAAAATATTTAACTTCATAATCCAATAGTCATTTTAACCTTCTAAATGGCCTCTCTTTGTGCCGAATTAAAAATTAGACTGTCCTTCTGATTCCTAACTCCCTAGCAATCCAAGGCCTTGAATTTGGGGGAATTTCACATAATGTTGGAGGCAGGCTGTAGCAGGAAGAGTTTACCTAGTGGTGGCAACAAACAGATTCTGCCAGCTCTGAAGAGGGGATGGGGACAGGTGAGGCCTTACACAGAGTTTCAAAGAGCACTGGGTGAGGAGTCCTTGCTGCTTTTCCAGGTGAGGGTAGGGAACAGTCTCAGACACCAGTAATTTGCACTGTGTAAGGGTCTCAGACAATGTGGGGAGTGGAGTCTAAAATCCAGAAATCTAAAATTCTTTGAGCCAACCAAAGGGTCCTGGTGAGACCTCATGGGCTGGGAAAGGGTGAACTGCTTCTTTAAGAAAGGCAGTCTTAGTTCTCAGTACTAGTGCACAAGGGCTGTTCTGACCAGAGTAATACCTTTTCTAATTGATTAACCCAGGGAGAGGGCCTTTCATAGATGAGAAAATAGATGCTGAAGATTAAGTAACTCCTCTGTCTACTTAGAAATTGGCTATATCACATTCCTAAGTTTTGAACTTCTGGGGTATTAAGTATTGACAAGAATGCTGGAGAGAGCATTTTTTTAAAAAAATATTTTTTTATTTATTATTTTTATTTTATGTATGCATGTATTGCCTGCATGTAGGTATGTGCACCCATGTCATGCAATGCCCGCAGAAGACGGAAGAGGCTGTTAGATCCCCTGGAACTGGAGTTACAGACAGTTGTTAGCTGCCATGTGGGTCCTGGGATTCGAACCTGGGTCTTCTGCAAGAACTGTCAGTGTTCTTAACCACTGAGCCATCTCTCCAGCCCCCAAGCACTTTATGTGTTTATGATGAGAAGGAAAAACACTATGGTCCAAATAATTAGCTAGTAGTAAATCTAATAAACTTGAATGGTGCATCATGATGGCATACTTGCAAGGTTGATAATTCATTCTTCAACTGTATCGGGTCAACTGGTGAATCCTTCAGACCTCCTATCATTTAGAAAATTATTATTCTTTCATTGGTTTCTTCCTAATGTTTCTAATTCTCTGCTGAAATTTCACATACATTGTTTAGTGTCTACCTTTTCCACATCATCATCTGGCATATTAATTATACTACTCTTACATTAAGTGAATATTTACTAGTACAATATTTTAAATCTTTTCTTCATTTTTTACTATATTTTAGTGGGTGATTTGGTGCATTTTTCTAGGGCTTATCTTACTGGAATTGATGTACTATTTAAAGATTTAATTGTTTTAACTTCGGTGTATGTGTGTGTTCCTGTGTGAATTTATGTGCACCATGTGAGTGTAGGTACCCACAAAGACCAGAGGATAGCATTGGATCACTGGAATTAGAGTTATAGTTACAGCTGTATAATGTGAGTGCTGGGAACCAAACTCAGTTCCTCTGCAAGAGCAGTAAGCTCTTAACCCACTGAGCCATCTCTCTACCCCTGACTTACTATGTAAACTAACAGTGCCAGGCAGGTATAGGAATATATTGTAATGAAGGTTTATATTTCCCCTTTTTTGTGACAAAATTTTAACATAGTTCATCTATTCGGCTACAAACTAAAATATCAGTTGTTATAATTACCATTTATGATGTTTTAAAGAAACTAACATTTGTTATAGTAACCATATTTGAATTTTCTGAATCTCTTCACTTATTTTCTGATTCAAATTACCATTTGGTGTCATTTCCTTAGTCCAAAATAGTGCCCCACCTAGCTTTTGTGCTGTTACTACTAAACACATGTCTACGTGTTTCTACTCGCCGATGCATTATATGCCTACTATTTTTTAAGCAATTGTTTTTAAATCAGTTAAGAGAGGAGCACACTGTATTTTATAAAGGACTGTTTGCTTCTCCTTTGATTTGTATGTGTTTCACTCCTGTATGGGGTCGCTTGCTTTCAACTTGAAGTGTGTGAGTGTGAGTGTGTGTGTGTGTGTGTGTGTGTGTGTGTGTGTGTGTGTGTTACTGGGAACCACAGCGACCCACTCGTACCAGATGAGTACTCTATCACTGAGCCATATCAGCCTAAACAACTTATTTAATATTTCCTGTAAGGCTTGTCTGTCTGCAACAATTCCTCTTTTCATTTGTCTGGAATCATTCCTCTTTGCCTTAATTTTTAGAAGATAATTTGCTGAATATAGGACGCTTTGATTTTTCTTCGTGGCCCTTGCATTTTATTTTCTCTTCACACCCTGTACGTATCGTCCCACTTCCTTCTAGTCTCAGCGGTTTCTAAGCAGCAGTTGGCTGTGATCTTATTGTGGATCCCTCATAGGTGATGTTTCTGTTCTTTCCTTTCCCCCTCTCGCGTTGATTTGAAGATTGGTTCTTTTTATTTCGGTCACTGTAATTGTCTTTGTACTTCCTTTGCTGAAAGTTATGGACTTCTGTGGATGTATAGATTAATGTGTTTTAATTGAATGTAGGAAATTGTTGATCATCACTTTAATTATTTGGCTTTTTGAAACAGGGTCTCCCTGTAGCCACAACTGGTCTGAAACTCACTATGTAGACCAGACTGCCTCGATCTCACAGAAATCTGCCTGCCTCTGCGTCCTGAGTGAGTGCTGAGATTAAAGGCAAGAATCACCACATAAATAGCTAACCATTATTTTTAAATATAACTGTGTTGCTTCTTTGCACTCTCCTGTCTTTCTGTTTGTCTCCTGGCATTTTGTTGGTGTGCCTAGTGATGCTTCCTATTTTCCTGAAGTGTTTCCTTTTGGGTGTGGGGTTAGTTTTTGTTCTTGGATTGCACTGTCCCTCTCATATGTAGAGTTTATTAGTCTTTCCTCTGTCATTTGGAGAATACTGTTGAGATTCTCTAGTAAAAATTTCATTTCGTTTATGATACTTTTAAATTCTAGTTTCCATTTGGCCCCTTTTATAATTTTGACTTTAAAAAAAATATTCTCAATGCAAGGAAACGCTGTCATTATAATTTCTTTACCTTCTTAAGCACTGTTTCTTTTAATCCTTTCAATATATTTATAATATCTACCTTAGAGCTGAATGTTAAATATGACATCTGGTCTCTCTCACATGCAGTTCCTGTAATCTGTTCCTGCTGGGTATCAGGTATCAGTCAGACTTCACTGCTTCTTTGAGTGTGTTATTATTATCTTTTGTTAAAAAGTAGACATTTGGGTAGTAGAGCTGGCCCAGTGGTTAGAAGCACTTGCTACTTTTTCAGAGGATTGCAGTTCAGTTCCTAGCACCTATGTGGGGCAGCTCCCAACCACGGGTAATTCCAGCTCCAAAGGATCCAAAGGCCTCTTCTGGCCTCTGCAGGTACCTACAAGTACGTGAACACACACACACATACAGAGAGAGAGAGAGAGAGAGAGAGAGAGAGAGATAAAATAAGTATTGAAAAAAGAAAGATGGACATTTTAGATATTGAACTGTTCATTCCAAATACTGGATGCTACCTTGACAGCTTGATTTCAGATTTCTTATCAGATTTTTTTAAATGTTCTGATAAACTATCTTGGTGAGATCTGTTTCTCTGACCATATGTTCTCTATGAGGCCATGCCTCAGAGGATGCAGGCTTAAATATACTTACATGCATATAATGTCATTCTGAGGTGGCAATGTGTTTTTTAATTTATTTTTATTTATGTCTATGAATGTCTTGCCTGAATGTATATAAGTGTATCATGTAGAATGCCTGAAGAGGCCATAAAAGGATGTCAGATCCCCTGGAACTAGAGTTACAGATGGTTATGAGCTACCAAGTGAGTATTGGGAACCAAATCCAGGTCCTCTGAAAGAGCAGCCAATGCTCTTAACCTCAGAGTCATCTCTCCAGTCTGGCAGTGGTTTTAACATGTTTTTTTTTTTTAATCACTATGGTCATTTCCAACTGTTAGGCTCTGTTAATCTCAAATTGATTGTTCCATATTTTTTACAATATTCTGGGGCATCAGTTGCTCCATAAGCCAATCCAATTAAGTTGGCATTTTATTACAGGGTGGTTTTGAGATCAGAGTTTGAGATTTTTCTGACTCCAGGAAGGTACTTCTCAGCTTTCTCTGGTTCTC